CAAAATAGTGTTCCTACCATTTCAATTCTTGGAAAATGAGAAGGATTTGTATTCTTTAAATGTTTTGTAGAATTCAACAGTAAAGACGTCTAGCTCTGGGGTTTTCTTTTGTAGGAGATATCTTATTGAGTCAGTCTCATTACTTACCAGTAGAGAGCTCATATTTTCTGTTTTTTCATGATTCATTTTTGGCAGTTTTTATGCTTCTAGAAATTTATCTATTTCTTTTAGATTATCCAAACTTTTGTTCATAGTAGTCTCATGACTGTTTATATCTCTATGGCATCAGTTATAATATTTTCTCTTTGATTTCCGATTTTATTTTAATCTTTACCACCCTTTTCTTTGTCAAGGTAAAGATTTTTCAGTTTATCATTATATAAACAATTTTATTGTTTTCTCAGCTGTATTTCATTTATTTATGTTCTATTTTTATTTCCTTTCTTCTACTAACTTTGGACTTAGTTTGTTCTTCTAGTTCCCTTGAGGTGCAAAGTTAGATTGTTTGTTTGAAATCTTTCTTTTTCTCAGTGTAGAGTCTATTTTTTCATAAATTTCCCTCTTAAAACTCCTTTTGCTGCATTATGTAAATTTTAGTGTGTTTTTTTCTCTGTGTTGTCTCAAGGTACTTTTTGAGTTTCCCTTTGACTCAGTGGAGAGAGGTGTTAATTTCTACATGTTTATGATTTTTCCGTTTTCCCTTTGTTACTAATTTCTAGTTTTGTACATATGTAGTTGGAAAAGATGCTTGATGTGATTTGAGTCTTCTTAAACTTGTTAAGACTGGCTTTGTGGCCTAAGATCTGATCTGTCCTGGAAAATGTTCTGCAGATACTCGAAAAAATGTATATTGTGCTGCTTTTAGATGAGATGTTTTATATGTTTGTTAGATCCATTTCATAAAGGTACCTCACATTCGGTGTTTCCTCATTGGTTTTCCATCTGAATAATTTAATTCATTGCTCAAAATGCATTATTGAAATCTCCTGCTATAATTGTTTTATTGTCTGTTTCTTCCCTTTGGGTCTATTAATATTTTCTTTTTATGTTTAGGATCTCTGATGTTGGGTACATTTATATTGAGAATGATTACATTTATAATGAATTAACACCTTTATCAATACATACTGACCTAATTTGCTTTCTGTTAGTTTTTGACTTGTCATGTTTCATGTGTTTTAAATGTAGCTACCTCTGCTGCTCTCTTTTGTTTTCTATTTGTAAGGAATATCTTTCTACTCTAGTCACTTGAAAAGGGAGGAGTTTCTTGTAGAAAGCAAATAACATGGTATTATTTATTATCCATTCTCATGGTGTATATTTTTAATTTGGGGTTTTATAACTTCTATAATTGGCATAATTATTGATAGATATGAACTTAAATTGCCATTTATGACAAACCTGTTGCTAACATCACATTAAATGAGGAAAATCTGAAAAGTTTCCTGCTAAAATCAAGAACACAACAAGGGTGTCTATTACCACCACTCATGTTGAACATAGCTGAAACATTAGCTATCACAATAATGCAAGAGACAGAAATAAAATGGATATGTATAGGAAAGGAAGAATATTAGTATTAGAAGATTAAATGTAGATCAATATCTCTCACTACACACTAAACTAAAATAAAAATGTATCAAAGATCCACATATTAAAACAGAAAAAATTGGCAGGAAGACAACATATTTAAAACTCTTGGAAACATGGGAGTAGGCAAGAACTTGCTGCACAAAACCCCAGTTGTACAAGAAATAATACTAAGAATCACCAAACTTAAAAGCTTCTGCACAGCAAAGGAAATAGGCAACAGAATGAAGACACAACCTATAGAGTGGGGAAAAAAATCTTTCCAGCTACTCTTCAGACAAAGGGCTAATATCCAGAATATGTAAAGAATTCAAAAGAGTTAGGACACCCAAATTGAAAGACCCAATCAAACATTGATATCTGAAATGAACAGACACTACTTAAGCGAGGAAGGACAAGTGGCCAAAAAATACATGAAAAAATTTTCAGTGTCACCGGCCAATCAAGAAATGTAAATTAGGACCAGGGATTTAGCTCAGTGGTTCGGTGGCCTGCCTCACAAGCACAAGGACCCGAGTTCAATCCCCGGTTCAAAAAAAAAAAAAAAAAAAGAAATGTAAATTAAAAGAACACTGAGATTTCGCCTCACTATAGAAAGAATGGCTATCTTTAAGAAATCAACTAATAGTAAATGTGGCAAGGCTGTAGGAGAAAGGAGTTCTTCTTTATTGTTGGGGGGAGTGAAAACTGGTACTACCATGTAGAAATCACTATGGAGATTCCACAAAAAATTGCAATAGAAATTCCATTTGACCCAGCTATTGCCCTTCTAGGTATCTTCCAAAAAGAATTAAAGATATCACCACAGTGATACATGCCCACCCATATTGTAGCAGCACAATTTACAATAGTTAAACCCTGGAAACTTCTTGTATGTCCATTAACAGGTGAATGGATAAAGAAAATGTGGTATTTATATAAGACAGAGTGCCACTCTGCCAGAAAGAAGGATATGCTTGAGTCAGTTGTCAGAAAATGGATGCACCTTGAGATCATAGAGTTAAGTGAAATAAGTCAAACACACAAGCTTGAATATTTCATGGATTCTTTTCTAAGAGAAGGCCAGAGTATAAATAAAGAGCAAAATAAAAGATAGATAGATAATAGGAAGTAAGGAGTTAGATCTTTTTCAAATGGGAAAGGAATCAAGAGACGGAGTGGGTAGGTAGAGGGGAGGGGAAGGGGATGAACAGAGGAGTTAAGATGAGTTATGCACAAGTACCAACTCCAGACAAGGAATGTAAACATTACATACTGCAAGCACGTGCTAATAAAAAATGAAAATGGATACAAACAAAACATTCTGACCTATTTTTTCTGTTATTCAAATGAATCAATAGTTTGAAGCTCAGAACTTTGTATTTTAGGCTCACAGGGCAAGAACTCTTCTGTACATACTGGAATTGACTTTATTGCTGAAATGTGTACACAATAGATTTTCTTGCTCCTTCATAGGCAATGAAAGAGCAAGACTTTCCACTGTATTTATTCTTGTCAGACCTTATTTAAGGTCAAAGAAATATGAAAGACATTAAAATTTTTGTTAAATAACATTTTAGCATTGTTATTAAAATAAAATGGGTAATGAGGTGTATATAAATCAAATATCTGAAAAGGATTACTCCCTTGCTATGTCTTTTTATATGTGAAAATAAATCTTTTTCCTCTTTTTAAAACTACTGTATCCTGTGAGCCTATACTGGAACAAGTTTACAAGAGAAGATATTTTAACTGGTTTAGTCTGGTGCTCTTTATACCCAGCGTTTCCCACAATTTCCCTTTTCATTTTTTGAATGCAACTTTCAAAATTGCCATTTTCCTCAAGTGTTCTGTATTTTAATTATAAAATGGAGCAATATGATAGTGGTGGAAATAAAATGTAGATTATTGTGTGACGCTTAGCGAATGATCAGAGGTTGAATATCTTTATATTTAGGAACGAAGCTAATTTTAATTCCCTGGCTTTAGTTAGCTATAAACCACTTGTAGTGCTGTGTTTCACATACTGAATCACCATAGGCAGCTACATATCTTTGTTTATAAGGCAGTGTGGTGGGGAAATACTGTAGGTGTTTTCAAAAATGCCTCTGCTGTTATTAACCAATTAGTGGTTAGAATGCTGGCATAATTTTGTATTTCTCCAAGAGTCTTACCTTGTCCTTGGATTTAGCCCAGGCTCTGCTTTCTGCAGAAAGAAGGGAACAAAGTTATCTTTGGGATATTTGGTAAAATTTGGGGCTGGCATGTAAGATGTGTTTCATAGTCTTCTAGAAGACTCCTTCCAGCCTTTTTCTGTGCCAGGTACCCTATTTTCCATGTTTTCTGAAAGTTCTCCAATCAGCGCCCTTGTGGAGCACCTGGGAATAATTTGTCAGGCCTTGAATGTGCCAAGATCATTTGATCAATTTTATTCCTTCTTTAATCCAGAGGGATATAAATGAGAACTAAATATCTGTTTAAAGAGGAATGACATTTTTTTTTCTATCCTGGGGTGCACATTCTAAAAATGAAATAATATTAATTTAGTATTCACCTGACCTTTCACAATTGTCAAATGCTCTGGCTTTGTTAGATGTAATGAAAAATAGTCTACATTTTAGTCCTAAATCTCTCCCTTCTTCTTTTTCTTGTTTTTAATTTTCATATTTACTGTTAAAAGTATATTGGCTCAACAACAGATCATACTTGTTTGACAGTTTTAAGATTAATCCACATACTATTTTTAAATTGCAAATTTATGAATACAATCAGTGGTTTAGAACTGTGATGTTAGATATAGTTCATGGATGACTGTAATTGCAATTAATTTTTAACCAGTTTCCTAAACAGAGTAGATGCAAATAGAAAGTTTCAAAAAGGAAATCTTTCTGGGAAACCATATAGCATTTGCCTTGTATGTTCCCAAAAGAGAATTCTTTAAGCAAATGAATACTAAGAATTACTTTCATTTTTGAGATGGACAGATTATCTATTTATTATTTCGTATATTAATGTATCCCATATTTACCGAATTCCAACTTTGCGTCGTTGTGAAGATTCAGAGTGAGAAGACCGCAGAAGAGCTTAGAACAGCAGAATCTTCCCTGGCGCTACTAAAGCCTACTCACAGAGAATTATATCCAGGGTCTGGAAGGCCGATGGCTTTGAAGTCACTGCAGTAATTCCTTTTAGCGCGGCGCACACCGTGTTTGAAGGAATTGTCTCCATGCATTATGTCACACGAGAGCATTAAGCAAGAGCAAAACAAATTAATGAGCTTTTAGTAGTGCAAATTGGTGTCAAGAATGAAAATGAAGGCCTTGTGCTTTCCCACCACACCTTAGAGCCAGGATATATAAAGAGGGTTCTGAGACCAGGGAATCCAACACCCTCCCTTCTCCCTGCTACGTGAGCCCTCCATCGCCAGCACTATGTACTTCACCTGCTCTGAAGCTGCCTTCCCTGGGTGCTACTGGGGCAGCTACGGCTACCCTCTGGGGTACAGCGTGGGCTGCGGCTTTGGCAGCACCTACTCCCCGGTGGGCTACGGCCTGGGCTATGGCTATAACGGCTGTGGAGCTTATGGCTACAGACGCTGCTGGCCCTTTGCCCTCTACTGATTGCCTGAAGTTCCCGAGACATAGAATCGTCTCTCCTCTCAAGGCCGAGTAGCACATCTCCAGGTTCCTGCTCTGTCTACCTCTTTTGTGCTCATCAACCTCCAGGCGGCTGCTTTGCAGACCCAGCATCAGAATTCCAAAGAGGAAACGGGAAATACAGTAACTCAAGATGACTTCCTCAGGCAATGTTTGCTGGGACAATTTCAGATTCTATAACCAACTCGACACACATTACTTTTGAGATACACTCATGCCTCTTGTCATGAAGGAGTTGTGGCTGTGTCTCTCAAATTTTCAATAAATCTGTTTCAACTTGCACTGTATTTTCATTCTTGACCGCGGTTTTCTTTCCTGGTGGGGACATATTTTCTAATACACCGAACGGTGGGGAGGTGAATTTATTGTTCTCACACACAGGCATCAGAAGCAAGGAGGAGGAGGAGGAGGCAAACAGTCTTTAATCTTGTGTGGTAAACTGTTACGAGGATGGGTGTCTGTGCTGAAAGAAGTGGAACTTTATTCAAACTGTGAATTAATTAAGCATGCAAGTTGTAAAGGGACAGGGAGAGCAAGGAGGGATTTTTAAAAATTTTATTTTAGGAATTAGAGCAGCTGGTAGAACACCCAGCAGTCCCACGTCAATAGCTTCAGGTAACCTTCTCATCTCTTGACTCCTGCTTCACTCCAAGAAAACCCAGCAAAAGAGAGACCTTCTCAGTTACTCCCATGTTAATGCAGACGAAACTCACTGTGATCTTTCTTGAGACTAATGATTGTAGAGTAAAGTATGTTGTCCCCTATTAAAGGACTCTGAAGTATTATGTGAGAAATATACACATCCTTTGGGAGTCTGACAACGTCTTAGGTAAGGTGACGAAGTCCCTGTCTCAATGCATGTAAATTGTCTGCTTTGTAGCTTCGATGAACCCACATTAGAAAGAGAGAAGGGAAGCTGGGAAGCTTCAAGATCTTTGTAGAATCAGTGTCAGGCAGCGAGTTTGACTCTTAAAGGTTATGAGCTATAAGGAATGGGTATTTCTGCAGATATATCAGCCGTTCTCTATATCCTTTAGAAAGGAGAGCAGTGTCCCTTTTATCAGTTCTCCTGTTGAAGCTATTTTATGTACAGTGCATTCTTTGTGATGGAGGACTTGGCTGAGCTCTGCTTTTTCATTGAATACTGTACCTTTTAAGTGGTTATCTTGCACGTAATTCCCCTTGTAGCTATGAAGGTAAAAACTATTTAGAGAAATCACTTCAGAAAAGACTTATCTCCAACATATTTCATTCAACACGTATCCTTTTTCAAAAACGTCAGAAAACATAAATTTCAAGGCTATATAATTAAACCCTTTTGCCCTTTGTAATAATAGTAAGCATCATTGCAAGAAATAATGTCTCCAGCTAGGAACGTTCTGGCAGCCAATGGTAACTGATGTTGAAGACATTCACGAAAATGAATTAAACATGTATGTTGGAAGAGAATGGGAAAGTAACAGGAATTTTCAGCAATTAAAGCAACCAATGGAAGTTGAGCAATCCCATACTGTATTCTTGAATGTTGATTGACTAATATAAAAACTTAAATCGGAGGAGACCTCAGAGAGCATCTAAAGTGTTTTGTACACCGTGGTATGAGGAAAACTGCACAAGCACCTGATGTAAAAATGTTCATTCTTCTGCCTCACTCCCAGAAATTCTGACTTGCTGCATCTGGGTTAGGATTCAGAAATTAAAAAAAAAAAAAAAAAATTTAAAGCACCCAGTGTGGTATGGAGCCTACATTTTTAGAAACAATATTTCAGGCATTCACACACATCTATAATCTATCTATCTATCTATCTATCTATCTATCTATCTATCTATCTATCTATCTCTGTCAATGCAGCATCTACCTCTATCTTATCCATGAAACTGAGTCTTAATAAACAAAACTCACTCAGATGTGTCTAGCATATCTCACAAGCGAGGGGCAGGGATCAGATCATCTTTATGTACAGATGGTATACTGCGGTACATCATTTGCGCTGAGAGCCTTTCTACCTAACATGCCTGTTGGAATGTTACAGAGATTTTACCAATTGTAACAACATGGACAGTTATTAAAATGAAAAAGAATCCGTTACGTAGATGACAGACTGGTGCTGAAGATTCAGATATCATAACCTGCTAAAAGGCAGAAAGTATTATTGGAAGATTTTTAGAAATTCATGTCTTCCTGTGCCATAGGCATAGGTACTACATTTGTTGATGCCGTTTGATGATTTCTTTAAAACTGAAATTCACACTTATCCCATGTGGATTTTTCAAAAAATACATATATTCATGTTAAGGATTATTTTAATCTTACATCATTGCTTTTTCTCTTTTACTTTCCTTTTTAGTTTTATTTTAGGATTCCCTATTTTTAATGTTCATACAGAGATTTCTTTAACTGAAATACTGAATAGTTTCTCTGGTGTGAAAAACTAAATAGTACACAGGATCCTAACATGAAAATTAATAATGTGAAATAGGAAGTAAAGGGGTAAAGGTGTAGGGAAAGTGGGAAGGGTGGGGGAAAGGTAATAAGGGAGAGGAAAAAATATGAGAAATTGAAAAAATGGAAATAAAGTGTTTGTAAATGGGGAGGGGAGGAGGGGGTGAAGGGAGGGCAGGGACAAGGGGAAAAAATGAGAATCAAGACCTATTATGTAAAGGTACAGGATCCCAATGATGAATGTAACTGTATTGTATACCTATATTGTACCAATAAACTCAATAAAAAGAAAAAAAACAAAAACAAAAAAACCCAAAAAGGGTTCAGTGGTAGGGTACTTGCCTAGCATACATGAGGATCTGGGTTCAATCCCCAGTACTCCAAAGAAAGAAAGAAAGAAAGAAAGAAAGAAAGAAAGAAAGAAAAGCAGACAGATGGTTTCAAAGTTACTTTCCTTGTAAGGTAAGTACAGCAAAACAGAATAAGAAACCGACTCACTAGTTAACATGCAGTCGTTTTAGGTTACGTTTTTGGTGATCATGCCAATTAAAACTGGCTTGTTTCAGAAACTGAAACAAAACAAAACAAAACAAAAAAACCCAAAATATATTAAGATCTCACCCTTGGAAATTCTAGTGAGAAAAAAAAAATCTATGGAATGTGGAAATTTTAATTTAAAATATCTCAAAACAATTTGCTTTTATGCAATCAGTTTAAAAACTATTTGTGGCTTTTTATTTCTTCTCTTTTTCAGCTTTTCATTTTACTTTGAAACTAGAAACCAATTCACCAATATTTGTACATAATTCATGAAAATGAAAATCATCGCACTTTACAGATAGATTTAAATGAGATTGAAGAATATTTGATGTTTTGGGGTTGAAGGTGACCCACATGGAGGATCGCTGGGTGTATTTTTCTAACTGTATGTCATGTTTGGTACTGAGCCAAGTGCAGTGCTGTATATGTAGCAGAGACTCAATATATATGAGTAGTTTTCCTGGACTGTTTCCTCAACAAACACACACACAAATGCGAAACATCCATTTGGTGCCATCTACTAACCAGTCTTCAATTGGAGTATTTTGTAGTTAGAAGCTTACTGTTTATACACTTTTATGATTTAGGGTCATCTCACAAAGTCACAAGAGTTGTTCGTTTTTCTTCTAATTCTAAAGCTATGGTATTTATATTTAAGATTTACCTTCTGAATGCAGCCTGGTGAACTGGGCTACATGATTTAAATATTTAAGTCCTTTTATCTACAGAACAACCTTCCAGAAGGAAAGTGTGTGTATGTGTGTGTGTGTGTGTGTGTGTGTGTGTGTGTGTGTATGTGTGGTATGGTGGGGGAGGTTCCTTCTACATTTGAGAATAGTTCTGGGAAATTCTTCTTGAATGAAAGTCAGGGTTACTTGACACTGAGTTAGAGTCTAGGGTTGTTTTGTTTTGACAGAATCACATTGTTCGGCACTGTTTTGAGTCTAGAATGCAGAGTTATTTCCATTCTGCCTCCTATATTTTCAATGACTGACTTGTCTTGGCAAAGGAATGCTATAAGTTTCATTATTATTAAGTATTGTTATTCTGTAGTTAATTTGGAAGACATTTTATTTTTTAATAAAAGAGTGCTTTTTAATATCTACACATATTGAATTAAAGTAAAAAATGAAGTAGCAAAAATTTTATTTTTAGTGTTTTTGCATTCTATATATATAAAATGTTTCAAGTCTTTCACTAACATATACCTTCTGGTTTCAGTTTTGTGTCCACCCTACTAAGACCCTTTGATCATTAGCTTTTCCAATTCTTCTACTGTCATCCAGACAAAAAATAAAAAAAGAAAACATCCCCTCCCCAAAGTAGCTTTCAACAATAATGGATGCCTAAGTAGAATGAGAACAGTACTATTTAAATTAGTTTTTCTTTACTTAGTAAAGATAAGTATGAACCATATGCACTGATGTTTAATAAGTCTCTAAGATGTAATTCTTTTCCTAGCCAAAGAAGGTATTTTGTTGGTTCTTTGCCAAGAACTTCAGACACTGGAAGCAAAACAGAAACTGAAAAGGCTTTATACCCACGTGACTATTGTATTTGTTTTCGCACAAGTCTTTCTCAGCTAATGGGTGGCCTTTCTCAGAGTGTTCCAGAGTGTTTTGTCCAGGGGGCATGTACAACCCATGTGGCTCTCTGAAGGCACATGTGCAATAAATCATAGGCAAAAACTAGCCAAGCAATCAAGCAACCAAGCAACTAACCAAACAGCCAAATGGATTATAAACATCTTTAGTAGAGCATAATTACCTTTGAGTAATTTAGTAAGTACAAATTTTTCTATCCTATTGGTGTCTTATGACATTAAAAATCTAAAGGAGGTTAATTTGAGATTTGAGGTCAGGCCATCATTTTAAGCACAGCATAGTATACTTTGAAAGTCATTTAAACTGAGTGTGGTGGCACATGCCTACAATTCCAGCACTTGGGAGGATAGCCGTGAGTTCAAGACCACCCTGGGCTA